CCTATATGTTCGCTACGCTTACTTTTGTCAGACCAACGTCAACAAGAAATCAAGTGGCCTAAAACTTCAAAATTTCACCATAGCTTTAAGTACATGCTAAGGGGAAGCTGACGGTATACATAATCAATTATAACTAAGCAGATCGATTGACTATATGACTTTACACTGAATATTAACTGTCATTGTCATCAAGGCAGCATCAGCAGTACACTATGCTTTCACGTCTGACGAAAAAGCAAAACGGATATGTATGCCTTCGTTTCATGAAAGTCATTTGCTGAATGTAACTTGTTATTCTAGTAAAGCTTAATTTTTAAGTGTCCGAAACAAACTCTTAATCTGCGCAAAGGGCCGAAGCGATGACAATTTGATGATGAAACAAAAGACTAGCTCATTCAGCAGGTTCAGCTCACACAAGTTTTGAGCGTGGCGGTACAGAACAAGCTGGTTCGAAACCTGCAACCGTACGGCTATCTGATTCATTTGCGAACAACTAGTCATCGCAGTCTATAACGTTATTGTCAATTACAGTTCTTATAATATTACATGATTAAGAAGAAGAATGAAAACTCTTAAAAGGTATTTGTTTTGACGTGATCGTATCTGCTTGATGTAAGGTCCCGAAATTGCCGCGAGCTAAGACAAGCAAAAAGTGTTTTGTTTTGTGCAATTGCATATATTGTTAGTTGCCAGAAGTTTGAGCGGTCTCCACATATCTATACGACGCGAATCAGTTTATACTGCGACCAGCAATATCCCCACAAGCACTTTGAGGCCCACCAAACAAGTTAAAGCCCATTTCTGCGCTGTAGAGGGAGCCATGAAAGAGTCAACTGTTGACGCCACGCTCGATTGCGATAGCTGGATAGTGGCAATCATGAAATGATAGCATATAGAAGCTTATTGCGTCGCCTTGATTAATCGATTGAAACGAAAAGCAAAAGACTTTTACAAGAGGTAAGATATGCCAAAACGATTAACCTTAGATTGTTTCACCGTCGGTCAAAATCATGCCGCAGAATTAAATCTGGAAACTTGAATAATGAGATAGAATTGCTAACTCCGTCGTTGACAATGAAGAATAAAAATACGGAGATAAGTTTCGTGACAACATTGATCGACTGAACGAAGCGCTGAACATGAAGTTGTCAACTTAAAGACAAGGTGACAGAAAATAAACTTTTTGAAGTAGTTAACTGAGTCTGAATCTTGGTAAGGTATCACGAGTTATATGTCGCAGGAATTGATTGCTTGTATCGAGACTTTCCCTCCGCGTGAACGGTTTTTTAGGCGACGGACAATACTGTCATAAGCCTAAACATTTTTTTTTGCCTAAAAAAGGTAGATAGTGGACGATATAGATGGAATAGATTTGTATTCAAAAGGAATTTTAAGCATGACTATTCTAAACGTGATACAGGCCTGATGTGTATATTTGACATCTGGTCATTGTTGATTGCACAAGAAAACTCTTAAAGAAGTGTTGCAGTCAGGTGGTAAATAAGAAAGTGATAGAACTTGCGGTGAGACATTCGACAGGCCAAGAATTGGCTTCATTGCAAACAAGGCAATTTAAGACCTAGAAAAGAACTTACAAAATACGAGCATTATTTTCATCGACACTTTTCAGCATGAGATCGGCGTTTCGACTTCACCACACACATATACGCAGCGTTATTAATAGTTATATTTATTTGTCCGAGATAGCTGTTGACTTTCTCATGAATTAAATGTTACTGTCAGCTTTGTAAACTGCTACCGCTTAAAAATGTCCTCACACTTTAATACGACGTTAGTAAGGCTTATCAAAGTTTATGTGTAAGATATGATTCAAGCGTGATGTAAACAAGGGACCTTTTTTGGCTCTAATCTCTTCAAGAATAACACTGTTGAGAGAAGTTGCAGCTATCATAGTTTCGATGAGGGTGATCTAGATATCTGGTCCAATGCCATTTATAATTCACACAATATTCAAATATTGTATGAATTGGCATATGCTCGCTCTGATCACTTTGGGCCACAATCATAATCCCACATGTTTGAAAGTCGCAACCATAGACCTTCAGGAGCTACAAGCTTTGGATGCATTTCCTGTGATAAGAATTTGGTGAAATGATATTTAGCATATAGAGTCGAGCGAATCGTGTCAATGTGGTACCCATGCAAGTAATAAGAGGTTGTCGCTTCTCCAAAAGATTAATGATCTCGAATAGAAAATGCTACATTCTCCTTCATAGAAAACAATACAACAATAAAAGATCAATTCAAACTTGGATAAGATCAGATATAAAATCTTATGATTCTTTTTCGATGCAGGACTTATTCCTGTACCGCTCAAAGCACATGGATCAAACATCTTAGAAATGTTGCATTGGCTTAACATCTACGACTTCATTTTAAAATTTGCACTCGATCATCCGAGTCCTTTCTAGTCCTTCTGACTCGTTCTTCCAGTCCCATTCGTACAATGCTTTCTTGCAACTATTACGTTAGAATGTTGGCAGTAGCTGTCGCGCTTTCCGGCTTCACTATTCATACTGCTGGTGCGAATGCGAACGATTGTGAAATGATATACAACGGAGTGAAAGTTGATGGAGGAGCAGGCGCAGGTCTAGTTGTGAAAGCTGGAGGTGGTGTAAGCGCTGGTGTTGGTGCAGATGCCGGGCTCGGTGTTACTACTGGTCTTGGTGTCAAAGCTGATCTTAATGTCAAAGCTGGTCTTGCTGGGGGCGCCGGACTTGGTGTGAAAACTGATGTAAATGTAGGTGCGGATGTTGGTGTTAAAGTCAGTGGTGGCGTTGATGCTGGTCTCGGTGTGAAAGCCGGTCTTGGTGGAGGTGCCGGTATTGGTGTCAGTACTGGTCTTGGTGTCAAAACTGGTCTTGGTGTAGACGCTGGCCTTGACTTGAACGGCGGTCTTGGTGGAGGCGTTGCTGTAGGTGTGAATACTGGTCTCGGCTTCAAAGGCGGCGTCGGAGTAGGCGCTGGTCTCGGCTTGAAAGGCGGGGTCGGAGCTGGTGTTGGTGTTGCTGTTGGAGCTGGTGTTGGTGGAGACGCTGGCCTCAGTTTGAAAGCCGGTCTTGGTGGAGGCGTCGGTGTAGGCGTAAATACTGGTCTCGGCTTGAATGGAGGGGTCGGAGTAGGCGCTGGTCTTGTATTGAAGTCTGGTGTTGGTTACGGAGCTGGTGTTGGTGTTGGAGCTGGTGTCGGTGGAGACGCTGGCCTCGGTTTGAAAGTCGGTCTTGGTGGAGGCGTCGGTCTAGGTGTAAATACTGGTCTCGGCTTGAAAGGCGGGGTCGGAGTAGACGCTGGTCTTGGATTGAAGTCTGGTGTTGGTGTCGGAGCTGGTGTTGGTGGAGACGTTGGCCTCGGTTTGAAAGCCGGTCTTGGTGGAGGCGTCGGTCA